GGAAAGGTTGGTATGACTGGAGGTTCGAGTACCGACTGTGGTTGCGGCGGGCTTGCTCAACCCCTTGGGCAAGGGTTTCTTCGCTTTGGCCTTGGACTGTGCGGCCAACCACCCGGCAAAATCGGGCTCACCTCCATCATCGAAAGGAACAGTGGCGGATTTTGGCGCCGGGGAGCTGGTGACAATTGGGGCACTGAACGGATCGTCGTCTTTCAATGCATTCTCCTCATCATCGTCATCAATAGCGCCCCAAGCTTCGTAGACATCATCCGTTCCGTGCACTGTTACAGAGCTCGAAACCAGCTGGTCCGATAGAGATCGTCCTAGAGGTTGAGCCTCGCCGCGTAATACTTTCTTAGGTAGATCCAGCTGCGTGGAGGGTGATGATCTTGTGGGGCGAGGTACGGATGCTGAGCGAACAGCCTCCGTGTCGGCCAGTTTACTAGTACCCGTAGTTGGCTGTATCTCACCGTTCGCTGTCGTAAGTTTGTTGGTGAACGAGGAGATTGCCCAACCGGCCCAGGACTTATCATTTGATGTGCCAATTCGTGCAGCATCCTTGGGTGTTTCTGTGCTAGCGGTGGCTGGAATTGCCGTATCGGCCATTGAGCTGCTGAAATTGCGAATGCGCTGTAGATACAAGTCTAGAGTTTTGTTCGCTTGGTCTCTCACCAGCCTAGGATATTCTGTTAGGGCCGACAATCAGGACCGGAAATGGGGATTGAAGACCGAGGACTCACTTCTCTTTATCTAGCAAAGAGGGGCAAATAGCGGGAAGGACCTTCCCTGCGCAATCCTCCTCGTTGAAAAACTCGATTGTCGCAGCTAGCGCGAGCAAACCGGCATTGCGGGCATGGACGAAAGGATCTCGCAGCGATCGGGTGAACGCGGCAATGAGAACCTTTGATCGTGACTGTAGACGAGTTTTAGTACTTTCAACGTGCCAGAATAAGTGGCTATTTTCCACTTACACCTTGTCCGAGATGTTTCGCGATTTTACCCAAACAGATGGTCGTGTTGGTCCGAATACCTGGCTGTTCATCGTTTGCGGTTCGTGCGAGGAACTTCAGCAGGTCTCCATTAATAGTTCGGTCACTGAGTTTATTGACGACCGATAATACAGCTTTGACGGTCTGTTCTCGAACAACAGGCGCGACATCTGTGAATCCCGACGTCTAGAAGATCAATGTCAGTCTCTGTCCGAGATATTGGAGTCTCCGCTCAAGCTCACCATCTGCGGAAAGATTTTGTCGTTTACGATTTTCTGCGGTAAGTTGTCAATCATTAATGGTAGGTTGTCGAGTAAACAGACACGAAGAGCCCTATCAGGGTTGCCGAACAAGCGAACAATGACAGGCGTTAACTTTGAGCTGTATTCATCCGGTGACAGTTTCGTCCCGATCTTCAAAATAGCACTCAAGACCTTCGGGCCACCGCCCCCAAATTCGACTGACTTGAGCAATTCCGGCAGGACCTTCATCTTGAAGAATTCCTCGGGGAAGTCGTCCGAAAGCTCATCAAGCTCACTAGTCAAGTCAGCTCACAACGTCTTACCGCAGCAGAAAACTCGACGTGCTTTGGGACATACTTGATAAATTCCTCCCGCTCAGCATCATTCTTAAGGCCCAGGCTCTCTATGTCGTCCGTCAACCGGATCAACGGTGTCTGAAAGAAACCACCAGTCTTCTTCCCTTGCTCAACAAAATGCGCCGCGCTCAACCGCAGTTTAGGATTGGCTGTGCAGAGACGCTTGTAGCTTTGATGCATGCTGGGTGGAATATTCGTCGTTTTGCCGACTTGGTCACCTCCCGCAAAACTGCCATTGAACACCTCGTATATCAGAATGCCAAGCCCATAAGCATCAACTGCTGCCAAGGGATGTCTCTTGATTATATCCCAGCCGCCCTTAACTACCTCAGGCGGAGTGTACCGAGCGGCGTCTGGTACGAGGCTACCGTATGTCTGCATTTCGTGTCAGCAAGTTCAAAGATACCCCAGACTTGACCGCCAGTGGTCAACTGACATATATCACCGCGTTCTCGTCGTTCATGGAACTCAAGACATCAAATCCTCCAAGCTTCCATTCACCACTCTCACTAGCGAATATTGAGGATGCCCTGACAAACCCATGAACGGAAGAGGCATCTTCATTGATGAATTTGAGAGTAGACTATAGGAGCGAGGCAAAAGCACAATTCAGCAAGTATGTCGAGACGCTGATGTTGGATTCTGGCACTTACAGCCACTGTATACAGCCCCCATATTGATGTTTCCCTGCTCAGACTTCGGCGCTTGACATGCCAGGACAAAGGAACAACCCGCTCGGTCACAATGTAGATGTTGGTATCTGTCTATATTCTGTAAGTATATACGCGCCTAGTAGAAAAGGACCGTCTCGCATCATGTCTGTGACGAGTGCGCCCACTGATTCCTAGTACCTCGATAGTGTCCAGCACTTTTATTACCCCGGGATGTCTCAAGGTCCGCGATTTACGCACGGCATTTTTGGCCAACGGGACGCGAGAATTATTTGAAGAGATATCGAAGGTGAACACGCTGCACGGGGAGCCGTCTTCCTTTATAGACAGCGCATTGTAAGTGAGTGTAATTTCAGCGTCTCGGGGAGTATCATACCCGTTTGGTAGCATTATGAAGGGTCCAGATTGAGTCTGAGATGTCGACTCTGTCGCCGAGCGAATAAGGGAATGAGCTGCCTTTTGCGATCGCAGATGCGACGGCTGATTTGAGGAAATCCATGGCGGAGAGACGGAGCCAAGGTGTTTGGTTATGTAGGAGGATCAGTTGTTCGGATGCACCCAGGAGCTTCAGCGGGGGATGTCAGACGTTCCAACTTGATGGTAATTGCTCAACTCCCTGACAGCCCCTGTTAGTGCGACTAGAATGTGGTAATCGGTTTGAAAAGGACACCCCGTCCACTGGAGTCTTGCAGCTTCGCAAGAATGATGGGAGACTCTGATCGATTATTTGGCCAGAATTGCCCTCGGTATACCCCGCCCCAATACGGCTTAGGGCGATCGTTACTCCGTGCCTAACTACAATAACAAAGCACTCCTCCGCCGCCATCTCTCCGGCTCCATGCGCTTCTTCCTTCTCTCAACACAGCATTTGCTTCAACTTCTACGGCTCCTATGAGAACCAGCGAGCTGTACAGCTCTCGTGTCTTTACACGGGGTCTTCCTATTTGAGCACATACTGATGATTCATTTACAACCCATACAGCCACTTTCTAAGCTTCTGTCGCGACAATCCGTCAGAATCAATTTCGCCTTCCTTATCTACTAATCGGTATGTCTTTCCAAGCGCGCCTCCTCTGTCTAACACTTTTTTCCCCAACTTCGTTACCACTACGCATCTCCAGTGATGTGACACTGGTAAAAGGTCAGACCGCGTTATCCCAGAGTACGCGTTGCATTCCCCGCCGAAGGTACCCCCGTCTCATGCGAGAATAAATGCTCGACCTTGGAACTGCGGAATCCCCCCTCCAAGGTGCATCGAGAACAGGCGGCCATCTGTCCAGGTCCGCAACACTCCACCCTTCGGGCTCGTTCAGCCAAACAGGCACATGATTTTGTAAAAGGCACGAGGTCCTGGCCGCGAGGCTCACGGCCTTGTTTACCTTGGAAAGACATGTGCACATTAAATCAGTAATATGGTGCCACATACTGGGGTTCCTGGTCCGCTTCGCCTCCATGAGGAACTTTAGGAACCAATGGCTGTGGCAAACATATCGTTGGCGGGGTATCTCTACCCTTGCGACTCCCAGTCACTGTTTGAATGGACGAGGGACACGGGGAAGTCGGATGGAAATGCGGGCGCGGCATGGTGTGAGCTGTTTCCCGTGCGGAGTCGTGGATTTCGCTGTTCCTAGGCCGCTGATATTTCTTCGATGTTATTGAGTGGGGGCCATGGTACCGCGGCTGCACCGTCGTCGCTCTTGGTTGAATGAAGACCGCAATATAAACTGAAAAGACCTGAGGAGATGCTAGTGGTGTTCATTCTTTACGTCAGGCCCTCATGCGAGCAAGACAAAACTCGATGCTAACTTCGGACGATAGGTTTTCTGGAACTCCATTCAACTCCTCGTCTTAGTTCTCACAGTGGTCATGTCATCCCTTACTATTCTGTGTGGCAGCTAGTCTTTGCGTTCCCTATCGGACCCTCCTCCACCTCTATATAATGGATTTGGTTTCAAGATGGAGAATTCGAGTAGTCCAGTTTCCTCCGCGATGCCTCAAGAGTGGCTGACACATGCGCCCTTCCACATTCCCTTCTTCGTTTACCATAGCAGCTTAGATGAGAACGTCGAAGAAGTAGAGAAGCAGGCAAAATCAAGAACTTAAGAAGACAAAAAGAATCCCCAGAACATGATTGGCTTATAAAATTTCCAGCGGTAGGTATCTACCGGAAGGTCACAAGTACCTAGAATTGACGACTTTCATCTTGTATCCATCCGCGAAGGCCTTCAAATAGCACAGCATCTGTCTGTTCCACAGGCAAGCGCCAAAGTATATGACTTCATCAACAGTAGCTCTCTCTAAAGGGGATGAATCTCGGACTTTTAACGTTGACAACACTTCTGCGTTCCTCATATAACCACTTCCTGTGCGGATGCGAGACCGGAACTGAGGAAAATCCCAGGATGACATCAAGACGCTGACCGCGTGATCGTCAGCATCAGCGACTCGAGCATACGGCTTCCACAGGGTACATACTACATACCAATTAGGATTTCAGAATTTGCCCACCTGAAGGATCTTACCACTGGCGCTCCCGACGATGAACCAGATGTAGAGAAGTGCTTCGGCAGAAAAAACCGTGATGAGGGAGGGCAAAGGCTCCACCACCAAACAGGAAGCCTCACATCAACTGTGAGGGAGGTTAGAAGGCTCGACATAGACCCAATGGCGGCGACCTGTTGATGCTGCCACTTCGGCAAGATTGTATGTCTCGAACGTCAACGACGGAGATGTTAACGTTGCTCATTTCACTTCATCTGTAGCCTCAGGTTGGGGGTTAGAGGATACAGCCGAAGGCGGCTGAGAAGACACTTGAGGTGGCATCTGAGGCATCTGGTTAAATCCGCTGCTCGGGGTTCGATGTTGATGAGGTGGATAATGATGGCTCTGATGAGGACTAGACTGGAAGTGCGGTTGCTGCTGAGGATAATTACCACGAACGGGAGGCACTATTGAAAGTTAGACAATGTAGCTGGGGCCCACAACTGCAGAAACATACTATGACCTGGCTGTTGAGTAGCGTACACGGGCTGACCATGTTGTCCCGGTGACATGAACATGACCGGCTGAGGGGGTTGCCCTGGCTGGGAATTCTGATGCATCATCATGGGGGCACCGCGGCTAGGGCTTGGGTAGCCACTGTGGGGTTGCGGAGGAGGTGCGTGCTGAGGGTATGCATGACCTGGGTTTGGAGAATACATCTGCATCTGAGGAGCATAGGGCGTCATGCCCTGCGGACCGCCCATGTATGGCCCGCTCGAGGGCTGCTGCACCATCATCGGGGCACCCATGCCTGTCTGAGGGTTGACAAACTGAGGTGCTCCCGGAAAATGCCTGAGATGGGCTGGTTGCGGACCTCCTTGGTTCACATAGAACTGTGGGACCGGCTGCCCAAACGCAAGCTGGGCATGCGGAGCCATAGGAGATGGGTACCCGTGTTGCAATCTCGGTGAAGGGAAGATCTGAGATGTCGATGCCGACATCTGCATACGGTGATGATCCTCAAAATGGCCTGGGCCAGAACCATGATGCTGTTGAGGGTGCAGGTTGTGAGGACCATGAGGAGGGCCGGAGGTAGGAGGCATTCCCGGGGTCGATTGTTGAAATTGGAAAGGCAGCTGGGGCTGGTGAGGAACTTGAGGAGTGGAAGAAGATCGGCTTTGAGGAGAAATGGATGGCATAGCACCGGGCTGCTTGAACATCTGGACATAAGTCTTGTCCTCGTTGGCCGGAGCTACATCCCAGGTAGGAAGGGTCTTGTAAGCCGGGGGAATGCCTCCGTTGAAATTATAGGCCTTATCGGATTGCTCCGCGCTCTCCCTCTTCATGCGCTTAATAGGATTGAACTGGTCATTGATTGACGGTCGTTCAGAGATTGGCCGTGGCTTCTTCGCACCAAAGAAGACAGAAGGGCTTGTAACGCGGGAGACAGAGCGGCCCCTAACAAATGGGGATGAGCTGGACGAGGCGCCGGGGGTAAAGGTACTCGCAGCCGGATTTGGCTTGAATTCCAGTGCTTTCACGTTGAACTTGCTTGAAACAGCAGAGGTAGGCGTCTGCGTCTTAATCGGGCTGGATACGCCAGGGTGATCTGCCGCAGGGCCACTAGGAGGAATGCGAACGTCCTGGATCGGCAACGGCGTGGGCACAGGCGCCATTGCTGCTCCCTTCCGCTGTTGCAGGTTATCAGCCAGTCGGTGACTGAGCATACCAGTGCCCGGACGACCTGGGTGCATTCCTTGGTGTGGGAGCCGCCCAGCGGGTCCAGCCTGCGGGCCGGTGGGAGGGTACATCTGGCGACCGCGAGGATAATTGGGGCGATCGGGCTGCGTTGTGGTCTGCACTGTTCCACTGACACGAGCCGTAGGCTTCTGCTCGGTAACTGCTGAGGCAGGCTTTGAGGCTGACTTTTCCTCGGCCTGTTGCTGAGCTCTCTGAATAATTTCCTCCTGCTTCTGTGGGTCCTTCGCAAGAATAGGTACCAGGTCCTTAGGGACAGGTGTAGCAAGCTTGAAGTTCTTTGAAAATTTCATCAACTCGTTCAGCTTCACCGTCCGGTCATATGATGCCTGGTTACGGCGCCGCTCTTGCAATTTTAGTTTCTCACTGTTGGCAAACTGACGGAAATGGTCTAGAACCTCAGCTTCCACATTTGCAGAAGCATTCTCAGCCGCAGGCCGTTTTGGAGCTGACGGGACAGATGAGGTAGCTTTGAGTGGAACTGACTTTTGTTCCGATTCAGCGACCGTCGCGGTCGCCATTGCATTCGACCTTGGTTGAGTCTTGACTGTTTCCTTGGACTGGACGGGAGCCGGAGCCGGAGCTGCATCTTTCGGGGTCGCAACTGTCTGTTTCACAGTAGAACTGGCCTCGGGGATCGCAACAGGCTGAGCAGCGGGCTGCGCAGCGGCTTGTCGGCGTGCCGGCGGAGTGTATTTGTTCGGCTGCCCTGAAACAAGCGGCGGAAAGCTCTTCTCATCGCGGCGGACGCCGCTATATTTGTCTTCCTCGTCCAACCCACTGTCGTCGACCGGAACCAAGCCTCTTTCCTCCCTGACATGAACGTTGTCAACATTGGTACCCTCGATCTCACGAGCGATACGAGCTGCCTGTGCCTCTCTTTGTTTGTATGAAGGATCGGAACGGTCTATTCGAGTGGTGTAAATATGCTCGTCATAGCTGCTAGTGGCGCCAAACAGCCTTTCGTTGGTCTCGAATTGATCCCATCCGGTCGTATCGTTTGTACCTTCAAGGGACATGTCAACCTCGGTGTCAGCTGCAGGCTCCCATCGTTTCAGAGTTCGTTCACGCATCGCGAAGTTTCCTGAAATATCGGTATCCGTCTTGAAGCCACTTGAAGCACCTGAGGCTTATCAGCAAGGAACATTTTTTTATTGTGCCAAGTATTAGGGAAGAAGAGGAAACGGTGGCATACCATTGGGCGCCTTGGCTGTGACTTCCGCAGTCGAAACATTGGACACGGCAATATCGACCACATCCTTGACATCAAAAGACATGCTGTGATCTGGCGCCGTGCCCAGAAAAGGGCTGACGACATCGCTCACACCATTGGCGCGTTGATGATCTTGTTTTGCCGGCCGTTGGACCATCTTGAGAAGAATGGAAGAGTCGTGAGGTTCGATGGAGGAGGAAGAGAAAATCCCAGTGAATCTCTCTCCGCTTCTTGTAGTGATAGTAGCATCAAGTCCCTAGATATAATGAGCGTCCAATGCCTAATGTCCGGTTCTCCTTATGATCATGGGGCGACAAGCTTACAATGAAGCTAGTGAGCAGAAAGATGAGGCGGTCATGAGCATGCTGATCGGGCGTGTTCGATTCTCTCGAAGTGGGTTTGGGAGATATGGAAGGTTTGGGAGTCATGTTTCCGTTGTGAGGTGAATACGAGGATCTCTGGGTGATTGGATTTGTGCCCTGTGTCCAAGCCTTCTGGGAATTGCTGCGTCTATGAGACAATGTCAGCAAACCACGGCTATCCTTCGAAAGGCGATTGAACCTAAAGTTGCATTCAAGCACCATTGTGCTCGAGAAAATTTGAGAAGGAGAATTGGGAGGGGACAGAGGGTATGGCTTGATGGCAGTCAAGTACACAAACAAATATAGAGAGGGCTCTGGGAAACAATACTGCTAGGAGACCAGCGGTGAAACGAAACAACATGAGAGCAAATTATTGTTACGGAACAGATTAGGAGCGGTTAAGACAACGTACCTAGCACCGCCATCGAAAGGGCTTCCGGATTGCCGCCGACCACCATCCGATATCTTAGAGCTTGTAGTCCTTAAAGACGGTCTGCCAGTAGGATTCTGCGAAGATGCATTGACAGTATTTCCAGAAGCATTGCTGGCAGCTGACACAGAGTTGACGGTGGAAGCCATCGTCAATCAAAACAGAGCCCGCGCCGTGAAAATCAGTACGACGCAAGGCTAGAGAAAGTAAAAGTCTTGAACAGGCACGAAGCCACAGCACAGCGGCTGCACTGACAAGGCGACGAAGGACAGCTAGCGAATTAGGACGGTGGTGACGCGGGGAAGGAAACAGCAAAGGGAGAAAAAAGAAGGGTCGAAGCAGCTATCGAAGGGGAACGGAAGCACGGCGTTCGACCAGCGATAGGAAATTTTTGAAAAGTGTAAAAGAGGGAGAGGGAAAATATTATTCAAGGTGTAGCAAGAAGAGGGGAAGGAGGGTGAAAGTGAAGGAGAGGATGGTGGTGTGTTTAGAGTCTAGATGAAGGAGGTGTGGTAATGAGGTCCAGTAAGGTTGTGGTAGTACGGAGGTACGGAGTACTAAGGTAAGGTAAGGTAAGTAGGTGCCAAGGGTGCAGACGGTCAACGGGGTACAATATGCTAGTGGGAATATGGAGTTTAAGGCACCAAGGCTCCAAAATTCTGTACTGGTGAGACATTACTGTGCTGCACACACACTAACTCGTATTCTAGGTAGCTTCCTAGGTAGGTAGTACTCTCTCCCGAATTACCTTAGACCCAGAGAGCTTCGAAGACCAAGCTCCCACTCCGCTAGGAATGAAAATGATGACGGTGGATAGTTTCACCACTGTTCCAGATACGTAAGGCATGATGATGTCGATGACACCAGAAAATTTCGAGGTGTCTGGAATGGAAAATAAGCATAAAGTATCCTTGGTTAATTGCTAACAAATGGGCAGTCTTCTTTTTGCTACACTGAATCATACAAAGGCAGATTTCTTACCTATATTAACCTTGGAACCATACAGAGTACCTTTATATTTCACTGGTTTGCGATCCATACAGAATAGTTAGTTAACTGAAAGGGCTGACAATTCAAGTCATGTGTGCCTGCCTCGCTAAGTACTGCCTTTGCACTATAAATTACCTTAGTCTAGTTGGCAGTCCTACCGTAAGCTCATCTAGGTAGGCACGAAGTACTCACATTTGGTAGTCCAGTCTCCATGTCGACAATTTGTTTGTTGCTACTTCACGTTTGTACAAGGAGTAGATTTGTTTCAATAATGGTATCTCGTCATTTTGAGCCTCACGAGAGCAATACGTATATCCACACACAGGAAGAGCAGGTTCAAGGTGTCTGTAGTAAATGTAAGATGACAAGGCCATACATAGGTAGGCACCTCGCTCTAAAATACATGTGCTATCTCCACCCACGTACATATTTGTTGTATGCTTATTAAAAGTCGCCTATGAAAGTACTCCGAACAGTCTTAACACTTATAAAGATTACCCTTACGGAGTGATAGACTACAACTTTCGCAAGATTGCTTTGAATTTGCTATCGTTATTGTCCTTGCGTGGAAGAAAGGCGGAGGCGGGTGTCTTAAAAAAGCCCAGGGCAGCAGCTGAAACTTTCCCTCTTGAGGCCCCCAATTCTAGGTAAGTTACATAAAGTACCCAAGTAGTGTCTGAAAAGGATGAGTTAGGCTGATATTAGTGGCCCCAGGCAAGGGTCATGTCCTTGAGAAGCGCCTAATCATCAACCGTCCCAGTAATTTAACCACTAAAATCCACAAGATCGGAACTTAGTCTACCTTACTATCTTCGATGTATTAACTAATGTCACTCTACAAGATAGGTGCGCCGTGCGGACTTACGGCCCAAGACGATCAGCATTGATCGAAGTCCACCATTGACAACAATCTGCTAATCCACCACAAGTGGTGGCTGGTACGATTTTGGGGCTTGTTTGTCTCACTCTTACACTTCCCTTGACTTTCTTTCCTTCATCTTCACGTAACTACAGTGTTCCAGTGACTTTCTCTCCCTTCCCATCTCGCGCCCTCTCCAGGTGTCAGTTGGCCCCCTCCCTTTCCCTTTTGGCGACCTGGATTTGTTCCTCCAACTTCACCGGAAAACCGCCCTGTCGCCCGTGCTGTTTAAAGGAAGGCGCTCCCACAAGTCCCCACGAATGCAATCTACATTAAGCAGTTCGTCTCGCTCCCAGCGAAGTCCACCTCGACACGTTCCCGCTGGGTCTGCGAGCAGTGCCGATTCCGCCATGACCTCGCAATCTTCTGCACCACGCAGTTCGTCCAGCTCAGGCAGGTCTCAGTCGTCAAGGACTGTTGTGGTAAGCTTATTGTCCCCGCTGTTGTGCTTTTCGACGCTTCAAAGATACTGGTTTTGTTTCTTGTTTTTCCGCCTTGTTTATGCTAACGACGCTTTCGCTGTTCAAATCCTCTCAGCCCGATAGACAAATTTCCCAAATCGAGAAAAGTGTTACCCATCTCCTTGTCGCTACAAAACAACTGCTGGAGACCTTGACTCAATGGTCTCGAAGACAGGCGTCTGAGAACGAAGTCTCAGACGTCTACGTGCGACTGGGTTATGAATTTAACCTAGCCTGCCGCGCCTTCAATGCGATTGGTGTTGATACCTCCGACCTGGGCCCAGTGCCTGACCTTCTCCGCACAATCCTCGAAGATACACTGAGCCAGGATGCGTCTCCCCAGAGCCTCGATCGATACCTGCCTCGTATTCGTGACATAATTATCAACCTCCTTCATGGTCTCAAGAAGAAGCAGGCTCGCTTGCGCTCGCGGCAGCAAAGGGAAGAAGGTCGCCCCTTGCCTGGCCGGCAGGCAAGCTCGGGGAGTGCCGTCATAAACCAGATGTATGAGGAAGCCGCAGCCACTGCCAGTTCGCCGAAAAGGCCAGGTAGTCGCCGGCATGGAAGCAATGGCTCACTCGAAGACCAGTCCGGCGGGGCTCATGTTGGTTCTACAGTGCAGCCTTCGAGCGACACGAGGGGTACTAGCTACTCGGAGAGAGAAGCATCAAGACGAGAGGCGCAGCAGATCCTATCTCAGCCATCGCAACCCGAGGCCGAAACTTCGTCAAGGGTAGCCATGCCTTCACCCGACTTCTCTGGTTATCCTACCCCACCCCCTCCGCCCCCTCCCCCCAAACAGGACGATGCTTTGGGTGCCCTCCAAAGAAGCGGAGAACTGGAAAGACGGGCCTCGCGACGGTTTTCTGCCTATCAGATACAGAAACATTTGGGAGCATCGACAAACGGTGTCCCCGTTCTACCAACCCAAAATTCTCCTGTCCCAAATCGCGGTCGTGATGTCCGCGAATCTTTGAATGCAGTACGCTTGCGAGGGTCTTATGCGCACGGGAGACAACGGTCGACGAATCGTCCGCAAGATGCGGTTACCCCAAGCAAAACTGCGAAGCCATTGCCATCCTCTCACCTTGGCCAAGGAGGAGAGGACGAGCTCAACAAGGCTCGCACCCCATCTCCGACACAGTCTCAGACAAATGCTTCGGTTGCATCCCAAATACGTCCGGAGAGAGTGCCACACCGGTCTGAAGCTGGTACGATCGATAGCCCTACAGTCGCCGGAAAACAACCTGGGCTCCCTCAGTCTGCCGAGGAACCATCCCTGGCGGAAGCATTTGAACCGATCAAGGATTCTTCCATACCCAATGAAGGAGCAGCGCCGGGCACACCAAGCTCAACCATCCAGCGACCGTCTACCGGTGTATCAACGCCACCTCAGTCCTCGCAGCTTGCACCTGATCAGCCGTCCCCCGGAAAAGAGCTTACCCTATTTTTACAGTACAAAAGCAAGATCAAAAAATATGTCCTTCCGGAAGGCTACAGCGGGTTGACCATCGGAAGACTGCAGCTTGCGTTCATTGAAAAATTTGCATGGAACACACACAACAACGGGGTTGATCTGCCAGAGATCTATATTCAGGACCCAATCTCTGGGGTGCGGCATGAATTGGAAGATTTGAATGACGTCAAAGATAGATCGGTCCTTGTCTTGAATGTGGATATACTTGACGAGGTCAAGAAGCATTTCGATGATGAGCTTGGCGGAGTTCGTCGTTTGATTGAAGGCGTGAAAGGTTCACTTGAAGGACAAGAAAGTATCATCCAGCGCGTGTCAGACCGTCAGTTAGAGGCCGCGAAGGAGATTGCTCGCCTGGCCGCGGCGCCCCCCGTCTCAATCCCCACTTCTCTTCCAGATGGAACCGCTCGGAAGGGCCCTATTACTGGAAGTAACAGCCAACTGGCTGAGCTTCAGAGTCTGAAGCGTGATCTTGCAGTGCTACGGCAGACATACTCAAATTTCTCGTCGGATATTGCCAGCTCGATGCATGCGATTCGCGCTAAGGCAAATGGTGTGAAATCTGCAGCGGCAGATGTTGCCATTCCGTCTTATGAAGGAGATGCTGGTCGTGCCCGTGTCAACGCCGGCAAAAAAGAACTCGCAGATGAGTCGGAACGACTCGTTGGGCGGGTCGACGACCTTCAGGATCTGGTGGAAGATCTTCGTAAAGACGTGGTATCACGTGGAGTCCGACCCCTGCCAAGGCAGCTAGAAAGCGTCAGCAAAGAAATTAGCGCCGTCACCAAGGAGATGAAGAAGATGCAAGAATTCCTGAAACGGGAGAAGCCGATTTGGACGAAGATTTGGGAGAAGGAGCTCCAGCTTGTGTGCGAGGAACGCGACCAATTAACCATGCAGGAAGATCTGGCCGCGGATCTCGAAGATGATCTCGAGAAGGCCGCTCAGACTTTTGCTCTAGTTGAACAGGCTACCAAACAGCAGGCGTTGCAGCAGAATGTCAACGGAGGCGTCGCTCTGCGAAACACGTCGCGCAACGTGGTTATTGACCCAGCGATCGACCCCATGAAGGCGAAGGATGGCGTTCTGGGTGAAGTTCGCGCACTCCAGCCTAATCATGAATCTCGATTAGAAGCGATCGAAAGGGCAGAAAAAGCTCGACAGAAGGAACTCGAGAATCGTCGGATAGGACTTTTCCAGAAAGAGCTTGGGGCGTTTGTTCAAGAAGGAAAGCTGAAGAAGAGCGGCGGCGTGGAAGAGGCTGAGCGACAACGTCGAGTCAAAGATGATCGCATACGGAAGGAGGTCTGGGAGAGACAGCAAGCCCGAGCAGCGGAAATGGAGAAGGCAGAAGCGGAATCGGCTGCGGCAGCTTCTGTCCAACCCGAGCAGTCAGACCAGTCCGAACAGGTTGAGCAGCCTTCAATCAAAGATTCGACAGAAGACAACACTGAAGCAAGCGCCGACAATGGAGACTCGACGAGCAAAGGCGAGGAGAACACAACACCTTCGGCACAGACTTCGGCGTCAGAGTTAATCAATGGAGAGGGCGAAGATACCAAGGACGACGAGCCATCGACAAGTGAAGGCCCAGTGGACTCGTCAACATAATAACACCTGTTGTTTGTCTATTTTCTACGCCTTTGAGCACGTCAAACGACCTCGTCTACCCCTTCCACGTCTCTTCGAGAGCCCATGGCCGCACCAAAGCGGCTCGTTTGCGATTTTTGTTTATCTTTTCATTCTTTCTCTTCCCTTTACCCTTCCACAGTCATCCCACTGGACTTTGTTCTTATCATGCCAGTACTCTGTCTATCCAAGTTCGCCTGCGTTTTTCTCCCTGTCATTATCATTACGTTGTTCGAAAGCGTGAGCATTGCATGTTGCTGACGATACCCCTGCCCTCATACGGCGTGTTATGACCCTTGTGACGATGCTATTGTCCTTGCATCCTTTTGACATACTTCAGCTTCAAGTAATTTATACTACCTCAGCGAGGAATAGAATATGTGCATACACCGAAAGACGTATTGACCTGTCATGGGCAGTTAAGGAAGACCCTACCTGGGTTTCTACTCTCGTAATCCCAATCCATACATATACGTTCTTGGATTTGATGCTCGGCTGGGCTGAGGGCACCCTCATGATACATAAAAAGCGGTGAGTAATGATTCTCTGTATTGCCAGCAGAATCAGGTGTTTTGAGTCCCCAGCCACATGTTTATTATTGAGGAGTATTTTCATGTTTTAAGCCTGCAGTGCTCTGTTATTTTGCTTCTTCTCTTTTATACTAATAAGGGCTCTATTTAGACTTATATGACTTGAGAACCACTGTATCTACTGTTGTCAAGCCTCTGTTTTGGCTGAATCTCGACTGCCATTCTATTTGCCGACCTTATCGATAGACACCTGAAAGCCAAGTTAAACTATATACCTGTGCAAGGGTGTGCTTGGTCGACGACGGCATTGTCGCTTTGTAGGATGTTTCCATTTGCTCAAGACTAAATGAATGATACTAACCTAGTCAAAGCTACAGAGGGTACACGGATCGATGTGGCCCATCCATTTCATAGTCTGGGCCCTAGTACCCGCATCGCTTCCAGTGCATGCCTTCTCTGCGAATGGCAGCTCATCGTCGATTCCTGCCATCAAGAATGTCTCGCGGCGGAGTGACGAACTGCAGCCTGATCTCGCAAGGGCAGTCATCCGCGGTGTCAAGAAGATGTCCGAGGATGAGGGGGAGAAGTTTTTCTTTGATTATTGGAACTTTGACGGGTCAGACGAGGTTAGTCTGACAACAACGAACGAGACGAATAGCTCTCAAAGCTACGACGCCCCCGAGGCACCGGAGATCGAGCCTCGGGCTTATCCATTTTGGCGGTCGGTGCCGACTAACATGGGCTTCAGCCCACTGTTTCGGCGAGATTTCAAATGCCCGACTGGCACATTCGCTTGTACGGCGATTGACCGGCCGAACAGCTGTTGTGGCGCTGGAGATACTTGTATGCTGGTCCAGGACACTGGGTTGGGTGACGTAGGTTGTTGTCCTCAAGGCCAGACTTGTTCTGGCATCATTGGATCCTGTCAGGAGGGGTACAAGAGCTGTCCAGCTTCCATGGGAGGCGGTTGCTGTATTCCTGGCTATGAGTGTGTTAGTGGCGGGTGTAAGTTTCAGGTTGCTGACTCTGCGGGTCGGATTGAGCTTTACCTGCGTGATAGGTTGATTGACGTTTATTTGCCCCAGGTGCCTACGTCTTCACGGTGACGGTGACCTTGAGTTCGACCGTCATAGTGTCCACTGGTACTCGGACCGTCCCTCCAGAAACAACCCAGTCATCCAGCAGCAGCAGTAGTAGCAGTAGCAGCAGCAACAGCAGCAGCAGGACAACACAATCCACCGGCGGACTGACGCCTCCAGCTCGACCTACCAGCCTCTCCACCGCCACCACCTCCCAGAGCAGCCAGACAGGCTCAATCTGTCCCACCGGGTTCTATGCTTGTTCTGCTTATTATGAAGGAGGCTGTTGTCGCACAGGACGAGACTGTGACACTACGTCCTGCCCTGCGAAGGCATCGTCGACCATCACATCGGACGGTCGTACCATCGTGGTGCCAGCCCAAACGACCACCGCCGCCAGCGGAACGGGACGATGTGCCAGTGGCTGGTTTAGCTGTGCAGACACTGTGGGTGGAGGATGCTGTCCAACTGGGTATGCATGTGGTTCCAGCTGTACCGCTGTAGCAAGTGTATCTGCTAGCGGAACCCTGGCCAAGAGCCAGCCAGAGAATGCAGCCAGCCGACACTCGATCACGGCGATATGGACAACAATTAGTGCTCTAGGGATGATGACGATATGGGCGATATAGAATCCATGAAGACTAAATGTGTCTATGACGATGATAACAATGGCACCGGATGATGACGACAACAATAGAATACTATATGGTCCCGTAATGTCTTTGCTCTACAGTAACAGTTGGCGGCTCTTATATCGGGTAAATGAATGCGGAAAAACAGACCCCATGGGGCGGTTCCTGAGGATGGCACGTGGGGCCAGCGAATAATATTACCCGATCGGGACGACACCCGGTGAGCGAGCACCGACACTCTCCGACACCGCAGAACCTCGTTTACTGTCTTCACCACTGCTTCAGGCTCAAGGTTGCGTTCTATTATTTTGCTTTCCCTGCTGGTGTCAGGTCTGTGTTGGCTTTTCATAGTTCTTTTGGCCTCTGTGTTTAAAATTGATAAGGGTCTGGTCAATTAGCACTTCTTTGTTTATCTCACTTGGATAATCGCTTGCCACCATGTCGTCTAGCAACCAACAGCCTCTTCCGTTTGCCTACCAGTTCGCCGCTGGAGCAGTCGCTGGTGTATCAGAGGTATGAGTTCGCTGAGATCTATCGGCCACCATGTTCTCGAGTGCTAACTCAGTTGCTTCTAGATTCTCGTCATGTATGCGATACCCCAGTCAAACCCACCCATAACCTCACACTTTAACCCGCTAACGGATGCGATTTAAATTACACAGGTACCCGTTAGATGTGGTCAAGACGCGAGTGTAAGTGCTCTGGAAACTCTCCACGCGCCAATGCGATCGTGCGAAGTCGGCGTGAAAGGAAGCGCAGCTGACATGGGGTCATCATGCCACAAACTACAGGCAACTTCAGTCCAATGTTGCTACCGCCGCTGCAGAGGAAAGATATAATGGCATGTTTGATTGCTTCCGCAAGATCATCAAGAACGAAGGGTAGGTCCATATGCACGGAACTCATCTTGTCCTTATTAGACGGGCGCAAATGACCCATGATTGCCCTGTCGGAAGCTAATCCTGGGACTCTGAGCAGATTCTCACGTCTATACCGCGGTATCTCGGCCCCCATCCTGATGGAGGCTCCCAAGCGTGCGACCAAGTTCGCCGCCAACGACAGCTGGGGTACGTTCTACCGGGGCCTCTTCGGCGTGCAGAAGCAGACACAGTCGTTGGCCGTTCTGACCGGTGCCACCGCGGGGGCCACCGAGGCGTTCGTGGTTGTGCCCTTCGAGCTGGTCAAGATCCGTCTGCAGGACCGCGCCTCCGCGGGCAAGTACAACGGTATGCTGGACGTGGTGCGCAAGATCATCGCCACCGAGGGCCCTCTTGCCATGTACAACGGTCTTGAGTCGACGCTGTGGCGTCACATCCTCTGGAACGGCGGCTACTTCGGCTGCATCTTCCAGGTCCGCGCGCAGCTCCCCACCCCCGAACCCGGCAACAAGTCCCAGCAGACCCGCAACGATTTGATCGCCGGTACCGTCGGTGGTATCGCCGGTACCATCCTCAACACCCCCATGGACGTCGTCAAGTCCCGCATCCAGAACTCCCCCAAGGTCGCCGGCCAGGTGCCCAAGTACAACTGGGCCTGGCCTGCCGTTGGCACCGTCATGAAGGAAGAAGGTTTCGGCGCCCTCTACAAGGGCTTCATTCCCAAGGTGCTCCGTCTGGGTCCCGGTGGTGGTATTCTGCTCGTTGTTTTCACGGGTGTCATGGACTTTTTCCGTAAGATGCGCGGTGAATAGAAGATGTATTTTCATTTAGCATGAGAGGCCAAAAAGGATTTAGATGAATCGACATGTCTCGCCGACAGAGTAATGTCTACGATCGTGGAACGCGTTGTAAACAACGACGGTTGTAATAGGCCAGCGTATATCTCCTACAAAAACCGGCCAATGTCTATTTACCAGGTCATATTCAAATATGCAGAAAGATTGCGTCAGTCTTATTCGAAAGCTATCGATTGATTAGAACAACTGATAAAGCACTAGTGATTAGGAATCGAGGGCAGCCTCGTCCACAACAGTCAAAGGTACATTGCAAAGCCGTAGCGCAACACATCCATGCGTAAATGAGAAAGCAGCCGAAACTATCACAGAACACAGACAGCCGTGTATGTCAAAAGGAAAAAGGGAAATAGGGTATCGATATAAATGTAAACAGAACATATGCCAGGAGACTGAAAAAGAAAAATCAAGGCGGGTCAACAGATGGTGCAAGGGCCGTTTCTGGTGTGAGATTACCCGCCGAAGATAAAACACTGTAGTCATTCATAACCTGGGTGCTATGCAGCGATATCGACGTCGAGATGCAACATAACACCGAAGCCCGGGAAAGCTAGAAAGGATGAAGAGGAAGGAAACAGAACAAACAAGATAGATCTTGAACGGACAAATCCATGAATATAACACAATAATCGGAGAAACTGCGATAGCCCAAAGGATAACAAGCGACAGATGACGAAATCATTAGATCCGGATGGTAATGTCGAAAATGACGAGATGTCAAGACTTCGTACGCCGGTCAACTGCTGAACCCCTATCCCTCCGTGTGACGCCTGTGTATGCAATATGTCATGACATGCACTCGTAGAAAGAATGACCGATTGAGTTGCGATCCCACAGAACTGAAGGCATTCTCTACTGCAACTCCATTGCGTACTCATCTTCTTCCTTGAAACTCATACCCGCGTGGCCGGAGCTGTTCCAGTATTGTGCTTGACCCGAGTTCCCACCGTTGCTGCTGCCACCGCTGTTGTAGGATGGACTGAGACTCTGTGGGCTCAACGCCCCGTTCTGGGCAATAGGCTCGCCCGCTAAATTGGTATGCTTGGGCACTCTCAAGCCGCTCCCGGGGCCCCGGCTGTAAGTGAAGCTGCTAGGATCGTTCTTCTCCAAGGCATCCAGGATCTCACTCCGCATGCGCTTCTCCTCCTCCGTTTGTTCAAACGGCCAGGTGCCTCCGAGACTAGTGATCAACTCCGCGAGTTCAGACTCCTGTTGCAGTTTAACGTGCAGAGCCCACATCAAGTCGCGCATCCAACCCACGGCACCGTTCAAGATGTCACCCTTGTTAGGGCCCTTCTCCTTCTCCTCGATGGGAAGGCCCATAGTGATATTACCAGCAGTAGCACGACGGCCATTGCCACCGGCCAGGAGAGAGGTGGCTGCGTTCGAGCTGGATCCGTTCCCTGACATGGCACTGTTATTGACGAGCTGTTTCCGGACCTTATCATCCTCCAGACGATGTTGCGGTACGAGGTGAGAGAGATCCTGGATACGCTCGTTGATGTTGTCTCGCCGACGGCGCTCGACCAGATTGTGAGAAGCTCTCCGGCGCCGACGCTTTGCTTCTTGCGATTCCAAATCCTGGGTGCTGCCCGGCATGTGCGTATCAACCTTGGCGGGCAAAGAGGCATGCTTGCCAGATTTGAGTATCTCCGAGATGGCGGCATGATGAGAGGGATGGCCCGGCGATGAAATAGGGGACTCCATACCGAAGGAGTGAGCGCTTCCGGGAGTGCCATCCCACTGATTGGACAGAGTCTTCTGATGCCGTGGTTGCAACCCTGTACGGATCGGTTGTGTAGGGAAACTACCAGATTCCGGAGTTCCAAGAGTCAGGGCACCCAAAGCTGGAGTTTTGGGGGTCATGGGGCTGCGCCCATCGGAAGATGTGCGGTCGATCGCCTGTAAACCCGGGCGTGCCTTGGCGTTAAGGTAGCTCTGCTCGAAATGGGAACCCTGCAGATGGGATGGATTGTGTTGTTGCTGGTTCAGGCCGCGGAAATGATCATAATTGAAACTGTGCATAAAGGGGCTGTGCATCGGAGCCCCGTCAGGAGTGTTGGAATACATCTGCGACATATGACCGGGATGGCTCATAGAGATGCCGGCACCGGAGTGGTCCTGCATGAAATTCATACTGGTATCGCGTTGGATCCCATTCTGACCGCTGATTTCCAGGTCCAGCAACTCGTCTGTATCGATTCCAGAGTTTCCAAAGTTGAAGCTTGACGACATATTCTGTTGCGAACCGAACGGGTAGGACATGAAACCGCTGTTCTGCATGGTCAGCTCCGAGGGATCCACGGCCTCGTTGGAATGTCCAAATTGGTTGTTTATGGAATAGCCGTTCTGCGACATCATGAAGTTGTTGTTGTTGTTGTTGTTGTTGTTGTGATCGTCTGGGTCGCTCTTGATGAAAATGCTCGCTTCACTCATAGCGTTTGAGTAGATAGCATAGACTGGCTCTCCGAGATTAACTCAAGAAGAATAAGGTATTCGGAAAGTTGTGTGGCGATGGAATTGAAAGGTTTCAGGGAGGTAACGGGTATTGCGACAAGATGTGAATCCCAGATACTCGAATGGCGGCTTGAAGTAATCCTATGGAGATGCACCGACAAAGGTGTTATTGCATCGAGAAGGGTACGTGATGATCACTCTGGTAAAGGGGATATGAAAGCGGTCGGTTGTCTACCAGGTGACAGTCAGCTGGCCTAATTCCAAGAAGAAAAGGAATCATCCAGAGATGTGAAGGGCTGCACGATGCATGCGCCAATGAAGGGAAAATCCAGACGAGAAGAGGGATGATGATACGTACGCCTTGTATGGATAAAAGGAGAAAATAATGCTGGCAAAGATGGAAGTTGGGTATATTAATGCGGGACAGGTGGCTGTGTGAACCGGTCAAGGGATGTGATTCGGAAGCGGGCGATTCGGAGAATGCGCGCGTATCGTGGGGGGTACTAGGCCACACCGACGATCGTCAACCACGCGAAGAATGATGAGTCAAGATCTCGGCAGCCCTAAAAATAAGCACCTGGCAAATGAGAAAAGCACATAAAATTATAAGGCAATAAAATCATAAGAAAGGAGATTCAGAAGATAGAAAGAAATAAGTCAATCGAGGATCGGAGGATCAGGAT